GGTCCCGCACAGGTGGACGCAGGGGTCCCGCACGGTGGGTACAGCGGGTGAGACCCAGGGGTCCCGCACAGGTGGACGCAGGGGTCCCGCACGGCGGGTGCACCGGGTGGACGCAGGGGTCCCGCACGGCGGGTGCAGCAGGTGAGACCCAGGGGTCCCGCACGGCGGGTGCAGCAGGTGGACGCAGGGGTCCCGCATGGTGGGTGCACTGGGTGAGACCCAGGGTCCCACACGGTGGGCGCTGAGGTTGTGCTGTGGCTTCTCCATGTGTCCTGGGTGGGTTTCCCGTGGTGCCGAGCCCCCCTGAGCATAGACAGTGACACCTGTGGGCGTGGATCCTGCAGCCCCACGGGGCAGTGCCTTGCCCTGAGCTGCGTGCGCCGGGTTGGTTTGTGACTGTGGCCTTGTCCTCACAGCTGCCCTTGTGCCCGGTCGGAGGGTCCTGGGGAGGGACATGAGCAGAGTGTGTGTGCAGCGTGACTGCCCGTTGTCTCACACCTTCCTGGCCACTGGGCGGGGGGCCTGAGAGCCAGAGGGGGCCTGTGGGGCCCGGGACACATGGCCTTTCCCACCGCTCAGGGCAGCTCAGTCTCTGGGTGCCGGGGTGGTGGTGGAGGCAGTCATGGTTCTGTGCACACCAGGCTCACTATGTGCTTGGGAACTTTCTAGGTTGAAAACGACATTTCTGCTTTCACCTACGAGAGGACACTCATGATGGAGCAGAGGTCACAGATGCTGAAGCAGATGCAGCTGTCCAGGAGCGAGCGGGAGCGAGAGGTGCGTGGGGGCCGCGGCCGCAGAGACAGGCTCTCCGAGAAGCACAGCCGGCTTCACTGAGTCTTTCCTGGGACTCTCTTGCCGCCCAGGAGGGTCCTCCAGGGAGCATTCCTCAGGTGCTGCGTTGCGGTCTCAGCCCCCGGTCCACGTGGAGGTGGCAGAGGCCCTGCAGGAGCACAGGAGTGGGGTCAGAGCCAGGGCGCGTCAGAGCCTGGGCGTGCGGGTGCCTGGTTAGAGGAGCGGCAGCCTGCCAGAGGCACGCTCACGTACAGGAAGGGACAGGGCCGGGACCTTTGAACTTAGCTTTTCTGACTGAGCAGCGATGCAGGCGGGAGACGTGGGGACCCTCCCCAAGGGCGGTGCCCTCTGACAGGGTCAGCGGCTTCTGAGCCAGATGAGTGCCTGCATGAGTGCCCGCATGAGTGCCTGCAGCTTCTTACGATGGCTGCTTCGTCTCACAGCCTGAAACCCCGGAGCCCCTCAGCGCCCTTCCGCGTAGCGTGCACAGATTCTGTCCTGTCCAAGACCAGGTGGGAGGGGAGAGTGAGTGTGTGGGGAGGGAGGGAAGTGAGCTGGAGAGGAGGTGCCACCACACCCTGCCACCAATGCAGACCTGCTCAGCCTCCGCACGTGGAAGCTGCTCGCCCAGCCGCAGAGGCTTGGGCTCCGTGGGTACCTGTAGGCTGCTGAGGATGTCCAGGTGTGTCCACCTGAGCTACACTGGGCTGGGCCCCGTGGCCACTGTGAGACCCTGAGGGCAGGCATTTCTGGGGTCACTTCACACCGGAGCACGGTGTGGGGGTCGCCTGGTAGGAGGACGCTCAGTTCTGTGAGGTCACGGCCCCGTGGGGTCTTCGTGGCTCCCACCAGGCTGGCATCACACGCGTCTGTGTCTGCAGACCAGGTGCAGGCGATGGTTTTCTGAGACTACAGTGACAGCAGCGGCAGGGACAGAGGCTTTACCTGCCCTGGGGCCTCGGCCTCAGCAGGAACCTGCAGTACACGGGTCTGTGTATGGGGCCATATGCGCTGCCAGCTGGAATCACTAAGCAGTGACCACCCTCTCCCCAACAGAGAAGCGCGGCTCTGCCCGCTCCCAGACCCCGGGAAGGTCAGGGTGGGCACAGATGTGGGAACCAGGGGGGATGCCCAGCTTGTCTGTGGACAGAGACCCCTTCCACGGCGGCCTGGGCAGCCAGGAGTGCTGGGAGGACCCACATCCTCTGTTTCTGTCCAGGCCAGGTCCCTGATCTCCAGCAGGGTCGCCCTGGCGTCACAGGGGTTCAGCCCAGGTCCAGCCAGGAGCAAGAATCTACCCACGGCTTGACGGGAAGTTCAGTGTGGAGAGTCAGCAAATGCTGAGCGAGGAGGGACCGGGGGCGGAACGGCAAGCTCGAGCTCGAAGGGCGCCTGCTGGGCCAGGGCGGGGTTGGAGGTGTCGCTCCTCTGCAGAGGCCGGGGTTTGGCTGAGCCACTGTGCAGATACTGGCTGGGCACCCTCTGGTGCCCTACACGGTGGCCCTCAGGGCCAGGTGGGCGGCGCTGGCTCTGGCGAGAGCGGGCAGCCCTTGGGCTCTGGTTTTGCGTTCAAGGCCATGGGAAATTTAGGCTGGGCTGGGCTGTGAGGTGGCTGCAGGGCCAGCCACAGTGAGTAGAGGCCTGCGGCCTGCTGTCCATGTCCAGAGAGAGAGGCAGCCCCAGGCCCTCCCCAATCTGTGCCAACCTCTTCCCTTTCTGGAAGGACTGGCATCCAAATTAAGCATTTTTATTTGGAGAGGAAGAACCTGGTCCAGTGAAATCACTCGGGGCCTTTGGCTTTTTAAATCATCCTGGGGCTCCGGACTCCTGATGCCCCTGGGAGGAGCGGCTCCCCCGGGCTGCGGCACAGACTCAGGCAGGGCTCCGGACTCCTGATGCCCCTGGGAGGAGCGGCTCCCCCGGGCTGTGGCACAGACTCAGGCAGGGCTCCAGCCACGATGGGAGAGGTGGCCATTCCGGCACATGTGTAAATATCACTTCCAAGGTGGCACCTGTGTCTGGGAGCTCCCACTGGCCTCCCCTTCAGACTGGCCACAGCAGCAGGAGGGCATGAAGGGTACAGGGAGGGAGGACCCCGTGGAGGGTGTTCAACCACCAGGGACTGTGCCGTTGGTGCGACCTCGCAGTGAGGGCACCACTTCCCCTTCGGCGCCTACAGCGAGGGGCAGACGGTGTTCTCATTTTCCTCGGATTGTCCGCAGTGACCCATGGGGCCGGCCCTGTCATTGGCCCCAGCGGTGCCCCACAGGGTGCCGTCAGCCTGGCTGGCCCCCAAACATCCCCTGGCTGGTCAGACACAGCCTGCTTCCCTGGGACAGGGCCTGGATGCTGGCACGGCCCCACCTGCCCTGAGCCTCCCTGAGACAGGGACGCCTGCGTGCCGGTTGTGTGGGCGAGCGGGTGGTCTGGGGCGAACACAGTGTGTGTGGAGCCCCGCCAGGTGTGGGGGAGACTCTCCCAGCACGTGTCCCCTCCTGTCAGCACGGGGTCGTGGGGCCTTTCTCTCCAGTTCAGGGCCAGGGCGGGACGGTGAGGGGGTGAAGATGGGAGGAGGAAGTGAGCGTTTGGTCGGGAAGCCTGGGAGGAGGGAGGCAGCCGCGGGGGCGGCACAGGGCCAGTGTGGGAAGCCAGGCTGGGTCCCGGGTCAGGCACGCAGGGCCCTTCTGGTTCTGTGGGCTGGCCTCGCCTCTGGCCTGGCATCCTGGGTCGTTCTCACCGGGGGGAGTTTTGAGACTGGCTGGTCTCAACGAATCCCGGGCCCACCAGGCCCAGCTGATCCACGACAGGAACACTGCGTCCCATACCGCAACAGCGGCCAGGACCCAAGCGCCGCCTACGCCAGACAAGGTGCAGATGACCTGGACCAGGGAGAAGCTGATTGCCGAGAAGTACAGGAACAGAGACACCAGCTTGTCTGGGTTCAAAGACCTCTTCAGCATGAAGCCGTGAGTGTCCGTGCATGTGACAGATCCTGGCAGTGCTGACCTGACAGTGAGGACAGCGTCCCTTCCCTGACCACTGAAGAGCTTTGGGGCAACCCTGCAGGGCAGCGGGCCCGTTAGAGAATAGGGAGCCACCTGAGCAGGTACTGAGGGGTCCTGCTGCTGCTAAGGCCGGGCCCTGAGTTCGGCCCTGTGGCCAGGCACTGAGGGATCCTTCTAGTGCTGAGGCCAGGCGCTGAGGGGTCCTTCTAGTGCTGAGGCCAGGCGCTGAGGGGTCCTTCTAGTGCTGAGGCCAGGCGCTGAGGGGTCCTTCTAGTGCTGAGGCCAGGCGCTGAGGGGTCCTTCTAGTGCTGAGGCCAGGCGCTGAGGGGTCCTTCTAGTGCTGAGGCCAGGCGCTGAGGGATCCTTCTAGGACCTAGGCTGGGCCCCAGTGTTAACCACACAGCTGGGTGCCAAGTGGTCCTCCTGGTACCTAGGCCGGCCCCGAAGTCAGCCCTGCAGCCAGGCCTGCTCTGCTCTGCTGTGCAAGCCTCACTGTGGCAGGCAGATGAGTGTTCCATGGAGGCGAGGAGGCGTGTGCTGGCGGGCATGGAATTCCTGGCCTTCACCCTGTGGGTAGTTCAGGCTGCTGTCAGGGCCCAGGGCCTGCCCCACGCCAAGGCTCCCACTTGTGGCCTTGGGCTGCGAACACCAGGGCTGGACAAGGTCCTTGGGGGTGTGGGTCTGGTTCTGCAGACGCAGCCTCTGAGTCCCAGGGTGACAGCACCAGAGACACCTCTCACCTGGGGTTGGAGCCAGATCCTAAAGCTGGATTCTCAGGAAGGACTGGGGGCTCCCAGGCCCTGTGGGGTGGGACGAGGTGGCGTTCTCCGGGGCAGCCGTGATGTCTGGAACAGCCCCGGTGCTCACTCCTGAAGTCAGTAACGCACTCTTGTTTTTCTCTGCTGCGTAGAGAATGGGGAAACCTGTAAGTCCACTCGCTGCTACCAGGTTGCCTCCCGGGCCCGGTTGCCCTGCATGCCTGTGTGTGCGTGGCCTGTGTGTGTCTGTGTGCGTGTGTCTGTGTGCGTGTTCCAGGCCTGTGCCTGCCCTGTGCATGCTGGCCTGTGTGCATCCGAGTGTGGCCAGAGCTTACCTAGCGCTGCCGCGGCTTCCACATCAGTTTCCTGTTGCCTTTGCTCCCCTCTGTTCACGGTGGCTCCAGCACACATCTGAAGCCTCTTCCTAAGTGAGGCCCAGGAACTGAGACCTGGGAGGTGGCCGAGCTGCTCCGGAGTGGAGGGGAGGTGTGTGCCTCGCAGGGCCTGTCAGTCCTTCCACATCCTTCTAGGTCGGGCGCTAGCTGAGTTGCGCCCCACGTGGAATGCCTTCCATGTTAAAGCCGTACACCTTGGGGATTGACCGTTCCGTCTCCAGGCGGAGAGGGTTGCGGATCAGTTCTCTGTGTGGTCGGACCCTGGGGTGGGAGCTGCCTGCGTCTGAGCTCCGGGGTGGGTGGGAGGGAGCACCCTGATGGACCCCCAAGCTGCTCCCTGGGAGTCCTCGACGCTGTCTCTGTCCCCTGCCTGCCCCTGCCAGTAACCGCCTGGGCCGTGTTTTCCTTGTGGGCAGGCAGTGCCTGGGGCCTGAGTGAGGAGCGCCTTGGCTGAGTGGCCACACTTCCCTTTTTATCTTTAACCCTGAAACCTGAATTAATCAGACTCGAGAAACTGCAGCTGTGTGGGAGGCGTGTAGGGAATCCCTGTACTTCCTGCTCCATTCTGTGAATCTGAAAGTGCCTTCAGAACAGCGTATTAATTAAAGCTGCAGAATGAGGACGCAGACCCAGGAGTAGGGTTTGACACACACGTGCACGCACACTCGGGGACCTGCAGTGGCACCTGTGCCTCCTCCCAGCACCAGGGCTTGCCTCTCCTGGGCTGGGGCAGGGGCAGGTCCCCGCAGGCCTGTAGGGTCAGGAGAAGGTGGGCCAGAATGGACGACGCATGGGCTTTGTGTTCACGTGGGGCGTGCGTTTGGGACGGCACTGACTCTCCTGGCCCAGCAGTTCCTTGGGGCTGGGCTAGGAGAAGTCCTCCGAAGATCTGGAGGTTGGGCCCTGACCTCTTCTGGGCAGTGCAGGTGTGAGATGCGCGCAGCTTACTGTGACATCCCTGGGAGTGCACTTAGGAATGTCTGTGCATTTGTGTGCGTGCTCGCGTGTACCTGTCAGCGCACCTGCAGGTGGACATGTACCTGCCTGTGTGCACGTCTGCGTACGTGTTAGTATGCATGTCTGCACATACTGTGCATGTCTTACATGTTAGTGCGTCTGCACCTGTTTGTGTGCACATTATGACTGCACGCCTATTTGTGTGTGCATGATAGTGTGTGCATGTGTTTGTGTATTAGTGTGACTGCATGCCTGTGTGTACATGTCAGTGTGTCTGCATGTATGTGTGCGTGCGTATACACATTAGTGTGCTTATCTGTGCCTGTGTCTGCAGTGGTGCTCCTTGCTGTGGCAGCCGGCATACTCCACCAGCAGCCAAGGGACAGGTCCCTGCTTCCCCCCAGCACTCACTGCTGCAGACATGCTGCCTTCTCCGACCCCCCTTGCCCCTGGCCTGGTCTCACTTCCTGGCGTTGCTCTTTGTCCCCAAACACACTGGTAATTGTGGTCTATCCAGAAGTCGAATTCAAAGTTCCAAGTTCCTGTAACGAAAGCCCCTTGACTGTACTGTGGACAGAGACCCCATCTGTAATTAGACCAAGCTGGAGAGGAGATGAAAGGCCTCTCCGTGTTCCTCCTGGAAATTGGTGGTTGTGATCAGGTTTATTTGGCTTAAGGGTCAAGTGGATCAAAGGGCGTGAGCCTGGACGGCGTCCGTGGGGCCTCTCCGTGACCCTGCATGGGCGGCCTCTGTCTGTCCGCTGCCGCCCCTCTGCGTCCAGGGCACTGGTGACCTCCCCAGGGGGCCACGGTCACGACTGTGCTGACTGCAGCTGGCCTGAGACCCGCTCTGACTTGCAGGTCCACACACGGGCCGGGTTTTTCCAACACAGAAACGCGAGTGCTCCCCTAGGGCTGCCCTCTGCCGGCGTTTCCCGAGGTGGCTTCCTGGAACGCCAGTTCTGCTGCGGTTTCGGGGCCTGCCTAGAGAGGGGACCGTGGGGTAGAGGAGGGAGGTAAGCTCTGTCCCGCAGGGGCCTGAGCACTGCACAGCATGATTCTGCAGTGTCCCCAAACCTGCTTGGCTGGGGAGTCTCCTGGGGGGCCGCGGCCGGGCCCAGGCTGCCAGGGACACTTTGAGACATGGACTGGCCACGGCAGCTTCGGAGAGCAGACAGGGAGGGCCGTGGAGCAGAGCTGCGTTGTCAGTGAGGACGGAAGGCTGGGGCTGGACGGCCACACAGTGGAAGTGCTTGTCCTTTAGCCCTTGGCCAGGCAGGGGCAGGGTGGGCTGTGGGAGGGGACCCCAATAGTGGCCACTGTGAGCGCCTGTGCCTCCAGCTGAGTTCTCGGCAGACCCTGCCCCCCCGAGAGCTTCAGCAGCGATGGCTGCACAGGCCGAGGGTACCTCAGGGCCTTGCCTTCCTGAGCTTCTGGGCCCTGGACCCAGTCGTATCAGGACCCTCGGAGAGGAGAGGAGAGGACGGGAGGGGAGGGGAGGGGAGGGGAGGGGAGAGGAGAAGAGAGGAGGGGAGGGGAGAGGACGGGAGAGAACGGGAGGGGAGAGGAGGGGATGGGAGAGGAGAGGAGGGGAGAGGAGGCCACATGTGCTCAGCCTGACGGGTGGTGCTTGGCAGCGTCTGACACGGGGTTTAGGGGCGACGCCATGAATGTCAAGAGAAATGTGTCAGCCTTGAAGGCGTCAGGCACACGGGACACCCAGACGGTTTCCACTCTGTTCTGCCTGCTTTGCAGACGTAGATGTAGTTGAGAAAGCGCTTGTTGTTTGTGTTGTGTGACTAGCCCTTAGAAGCCTGGCAGCCTTAGTGTGCTGAGTTCTAGGTGCCTGGAGGCCAAAGCTTCCCACTGCTGAACACCCGCCCCCGCTGCAGTCAGCGCCTCTCGCTCCGAGCGGCCGCCTCTGCATCCTTCAGGGTCAGAGGAACCGCCTGATCCTGATCACACAGCCCTTTCCAGTGCGTGTAAATGTGGCTCATCAGGGCTCGGCTCAGCCTCATGTCCAGAGTGTGGGGCGCACCTGCCGCCCGCTGACCGTGCCCACCTCCCCCGCAGGGACCAGTCCAACGTCAGGCGGATGCACACGGCTGTGAAGCTCAATGGCGTCGTCCTCAACAAGTCCCAGGACGCACAACTGGTCCTGCTCAACATGCCAGGGCCCCCCAAAAACCGGCAGGGAGACGAGAACTGTATCCTTCCCCGCAGTGTGCCTGCTGGGCATGTGGGCATCCCCTGGCGGCTTCTCACTGAGACCTGGGATTGTGGGTCCTGTGAGCGAGACTGGCTTCCCGCCTCTCCTTCAGCCCCAGGCCCTGGGAGCTGCGACTGGGATGCAGTGGGGCTCTGAGGCCAGTGGTGATGGGGCCAGAGTTGAGGCCAACCCTGCATTGGTGTGGGAGAGGGAGGGCCCGACTACAGTACCAGCCCCACTGTCTCCGGGTGCTCAGGGCTGCCCTGGGGCTGGGAGGCTCCCTGTTGTGCACCCCCACAGCGGCTGTGCATCGTGGGACCTCCACTGGGGCTTGGCCCCACCCTGCCCGGACGATGGTGGGAGGTGAAGGCCCAGCTCGGGTTTAAGGCCCCAGTTAGCCGCGGCTTTGGGAATTTGTGCTTTGTTGGGAAGGAGAACTCCGCGGTGCATCAGGGCGTATTGGCACAGACAGGGCGATGCCTGGCACATCCCTGCCAGGTCGGCACCAAGAGCTGGGGCCAGTGAGGGCATGTCCTCCACGGGTCCTGGTCAGGAGCTGTGGCCCAGGTCCCCTAGAGACTGGCAAGGACCCAGTCCTTTGGCTGGGGTTCCCTGTCGTGGGGTCAGCACCGTGGGCTCTGTCGCTGTCTCTGCTCATCCTTCCTGTGGCCACGGTGCTCCTTCTCTTTCCTGAGCACCGGCCTCTCTCTCCCCTGCCTTGCCTCTCTGTGCCCGGGGGTCTCGCTGATCCCCACCCCTCCTCTCACCTTGGCTCTGGCTTTCACAAATCAAATCTTAGCCAACTAGGAAGAGGATAAAACCTCGCTCCCAACACGATTCCAGCTACACACGCCCAGGTGAGATCAGCTCTGGCCTTAACTCTGTTGACCACAGACATGGAGTTTCTTGAGGTCCTGACCGAGGGGCTGAACAGAGTCCTCCTGGTCAGGGGTGGCGGCCGGGAGGTGATCACCATCTACTCCTAACGCCCAACAGCGTTGCGGCACGCTGGGACGGGCACGGAGGACGGCGTGGGCGGCCTGCACCTGGGCTTGGCCCAGGGAAACAGCAAACACACCTGTCCCCCAGTGATGCCACCCAACCTGCCCGTGGGGCTTCCTGTGGAAGTTTCTAGGCCCGTCACCTGGGGCTCTCCTGTTCAGCAGCCTTAAACGACAGGCTCAACCAGCAAGGGTGCGGCTGGACACTGCTGGAGTGACCTGGACGTGGCCGGATCTTCTCGCAGGTCGCAAGACGCCAGCAAGCCCTCGCCTTGGTTTCTGGAGGTTCTTTTCTTGGCTGGACTTACCCAGTGGTTAGGTTGCGTTTCTACCCCATCCAGAACATTCTTGGAAGAGCACCCGGAGCTGAAGCTGTCCCTGGTGATGAAGGTGAAACGTCAGCCCTGGCCGTGGCTCCGCTCAGGGCCCTGGTCACCTCCGAGTCGCTGTGTTCCTTGACTGTCTTTGTGTTTCTGCACCTCAAGGCAGGGAGGCTGGAGGACTCTGTCCACGCCCGTGTCACCCTCGTGTGGGAGCGTCTGGGCTCAGCAGGTCCGCGTTTCACGAGCTGAGGCGTGGGCTGGGGCCATCTGGAAAGGGAACTCAGCTTTTCTGGAATATGGTGGATCATCTGTTGTGTGTGTGGTGAACACGGTGTGTTCGTCAGGACCTATGCTCCAGGAAGGAGCCCCCAGTTGTGGCTCTGCCATGCCGGGCTGTGTTCGTAGCCATCCGAGTCTCCATCCGCCTTCAGAAAACCAGCCACTTCTTTTCATAAGCACTGACAGGGCCCAGCCCACAGCCACCGCTGCCGTCAGTGCCTCGCACAGGTGAATGCACTGAAACCCAGGGGCACACGCACACGGAGTGAACACTGAGTTCCCCATACGGCCCATGACAGGCAGGACTCCATCCCACCCCACCCCAGGAGCACGGCACATGGTTCAGCCTCTGAGCCGGCTCACACGTGCCATCCCCACCCGGGCGCTCCAGGGAAGGTGGACACGGCCCCTGCGTGGGAGGTCCTCGGGCAGCAGTGGCGCCTGGCGTCAGATCTGTCTGGCTGAGTCCCAGGCGTCCCCTCCATGGCCTGTGCCTTGCGTGGAGGCGGCGGCGGTGGCACTGAAGAGATACCTTTCAAGGGCCCAGCACACTTTGCACTTCCGCTGTGAGTTTGCTTTACAGGCTGTGGTCACATTTGCAGACTGCGAGCAGTGGCACCGACTTGGGCCTTCCTTTGTGTGTGGCGTATTTATTTATTTAAACACCCCAGGGAGTTACATGGTAAGGAGGTTGTCCATGAAGAGCTTGCTTCTATACTGGAGGCCCCAGATGGCCAGGCCTCGGGCTGCGTCCGGCTTGCACGGTCTCCCGAGGGAATCAGCCCCATCAACGAAGTTCGAATCAGGGCAGAGGCTGCACTTGTGCCTCCAGACAGTGGTTTCCGCACCAGGCTGGCGTTGCTGTAGAGTGACGGCTGCCTAGAGCATGTCCTGGACATCACAGCGGGGCTCAGCAGTTCCCACAGCCTCTGCCTGCCTTGGCTAAGTGTGAGTTAAGCAGCAAAACTCTCCTCCGTGTATGAATGGGGCCAGCAGGTCCTGTGTCCCCTGCACCTGGAGGAGAGCAGGCTAGAGGCACAGTGGCCGCTGGGTGCTGGCTCTGAATGTCGGTTGGTGGCTGGAAAACAGCCCTGTGTGCTGGATGCCTCTGAGGGCCGCTCAGTCCTGCACACCAAACGGCTCGTGAGGGCTCAGCTCTGCCTCCACCCTGGGCTGCAGCCTCTGCAAGCAAGCAACAGGCATCCTTTCTGTTATCAACTCCATGTAACCAGTAACTACGGCCATTTATAATTGACTCCGTTTCCTTTTGTAGGTTCCCTGTCTTTGTTCTTTGTATGATTTTGTTAGTAGAAAAATAAAGTCCGATGAAATCTGAGTATGCTGAAGAATCTCTCGAGTCTCATTCAGCATAAAAGTTAGACGACTGGAGAAAATGTACTAGCCACCCCTTCTCTAGCAGCAGCGTCAGGGCTGACCAGCCACAGCCAACGCAGGTGGCTGGAGAGTGACCATATGAATCGGACAAGGGTTTCTAAATCATGTCATCAGCTTGGAACTGACCTTACCCCAAACTTCCTAGTGCTGCATGTTAAAATGACCCAATCTATGTATTCATTTTTGAGACAGTCTCTGTTGCCCAGGCTGGAGTGCAGTGGCGCCATCTCAGCTCACTGTAACCTCTGCCTCCCGGGTTCAAGCTATTTTCCTGCCTCAGCCTCCCAAATAGCTGGGATCACAGACATGCACCACCACACCCAGCTAATTTTTGTATATTACTAGAGATGAGGTTTCACCATGTTGGCCAGGCTGGTCTCGAACTCCTGACCTCAAGTGATCTGCCCGCCTCAGCCTCCTAAAGTGCTGGGATTACAGGCATGAGCCACTGTGCCCAGCCATTTGATTTATAATTTATATAAGGATGGAGGCACCAGAGAGTTGACCTGAGTGGGGACAGCACGTTCTAACACACGGTGAGATGCCACCTCATGCCTGTGATTGGCCACAGCCAAAACAGTGGAGAACCACGGTGAGGACGTGCGGAATCAGACCCCTCTTGCGGGGTTGCAGCCACATGGGAAGGGCCTGTGGTTCCTGAAAGTGCGAGACACAGAGCTGCCCCTTCCCCAGCAGGTCCACTCCTGGTGTGTGGCACGGCCTCAGGAACGGGTGCACGCAGGTTCACAGCAGCCAAACTGGACGCGGTCTGAGAACATGCTGAGTCCATGCAGGCTGTGCCTGCTGTGGGCCTCACCCAGCTAGAACCAGGAGCCAAGCTTGGAAGCCTCTTGCTCTGGAGGAAGCTGGACACAAGGGGTCTCACACTGCGGGACTCCACTTAACGCGAAATGCCAGAGCGGGCCAGGCACAGAGGCAGGGTGTGCACTGACAGGTGCCGGGGGTGGGCCGAGGGAATGGGGGAGACGGGGGATGAGGGGAGGCTGCTCATGGGGTATGGATTTCTTTTTGGGGTGAAAATGTTCCGAAATGGCTGTGGTGAAGCTTACGTGACTGAATGTGCTGGAACACTGCCTCGTGTGTGTCGAAGGGTGAATTATGTGTGTGAAGCTGTTGGGCACCATCTCCAGAGGGCCTGACACATGATGGACAGGAAGGGACACGGCACAGGAGGGTGGCGGGTCCTGCTCTGGCTCTCAGGCCACAGGAGAGTGACCGTGAGAGCAGCGTTGTCCTCAGACCCCTGACAGGTGAGTGCTGGCTGCACCCAGGAATCCACACCCGGGACTTGAAGCACAGGAGTGGCCAGCTGGGGTGGGCCTGCTGTCCTGAGGGCCACGTGCTCACAAATTCCAGCAGGGAGGCTTGAGGACCCACTGATACCCACACGTCTGGGACCAGGGCCCAGTCAGAGACCCCGAGATGTCCCCTTCCCTGGGACCCCGAAAACCAGGCTGCCTCCTCGCCTCAGTGGGTGCTTCCCAAGGAGCAAGAACTCGGCTAGAGCAGTCACCCACTCGTTCCCTCGTTCCCTCATTCACTCACCCACTCGTTCTCCCACTCATCTGCACACTAATTCACTTACCTGCTCATCCACCCGTGCCCCGCCTCACCCATTCATTCACCCACTCACCACTCACTGTCACCCACCCATTCATTCGCCTACTCGTACTCATTTACCCCTCAGCCCCTCTCATCGCTGTCATTCACAAACTCAGTCACTGTTCCATTCATTTATTCACCCATTCATTCATTCCCTAACTCGCCCACTCATCCTTCGCCCATTCACTCACTAATTTACACCAAGTCACTCCCACTCATTCAGATACAGGCTGGTTCAGCTATAAGATCATCTGGTAGTCAAAGTCTACACAAACGTAAGAAAGAACAAAGCTCTTGGTTTCTGTGACACAGGCCTCTGTCCTTGTGTCACCTCTGTCACCCGGTCTCCTGCAGCAAAGCCTTCCTGGCGCCAGCATGGTGGGAAGACCTGGCCGAACGGCAGGTAGAGCTGCCCGAGGAGCAGGCTGTGTGCCGGGAGTCCTCCGAGGAGCCTCCGCCTCTGTCTCGCCTGCAGTGATGCATGGCCTTCCTTCTAGTGGCACCCACGTCCCCCGACAGGTGTGACCCGGTAGCCAGGGCAGGACCTGATGCCATCCTGTGCTGTGTCCCTTCCCATCCGCCACGTGCCAGGCCTGCTGGACATGGTACCCAACAGCTTCACACACACAATTCGCCCAGGCCCAGGCCAAGCTGCTGCAGCATAACTGATGAGACACACCGATCTTTACACGTGGGTGTTTAATGAATGACAGCCATTCAGCACTGGCTCACTTTCTGCGCATGTGTGTTTTTTGCAGGGTTTTTTTTGGAGGGGGTTGTGGTTCTTGTGTTAGTCTGTTTTGCATTGCTATAAAGGAATACTTGGCACTGGGGTATTTATAAAGAGAAGAGGTGTATTTGGCTCCCCGTTGTGCAGGATGTACAAGCACGGTGCCTGCATCTGCTCAGCTTCTGGGGAGACCTCAGGAAGCTTCCACTCAAGGCAGAAGGCAAAGGAGGGGCAGGGATGTCACATGGTCAGAGCAGAAGAGAGAGGGGGAGGTGCCAGTTCCTTTAACCCAGCAGTCCCCAACCTTTTTGGCACCAGGGACTGGTTTTGTGGAAGACAAGTTTTCCACAGACAGGGGGTGGGGGGATGGTTTCAGGATGAAACTTCCACTTCCAATCATCAGGCATTAGATTCTCATAAGGAGCGCCCAACCTAGATCCCTTGTATGCGCAGTTCACAGCAGGGTTTGAAGGCCCACGAGGATCTAATCCCCCTACTGATCTAACAGGAGGCGGGGCTCAGGCAGTCGTGCTCCCTCACCACTGCTCACCTCCTGCTGTGCGGCCTGTTCCTAACAGGCCACAAATCGGTAGCAATCCACAGCCTAGAGGTTGGGGGCCCTTGCTCTAAAGAACCAGATCTCCCACGAACTCAGAATGAGAGCTCACTCATCACCATGGCGAGGGCGCCAAGCCATTTGCCAGGGATCTACCCCCGTGGCTCAAACCCCTCCCACAGGCCCCACCCAGCACCGCGGATCACATCTCAACATGAGACTTGGAGGGGACACACACCCAAGCCCTGTCCATTCCCCTTACCTCGTTCAGGCTCAAGTGTGGCACCCTGAGGCACCAAGGGCCCTGCTGGGTGAGGCAGGCCCCAGCAGCTGGAGTTGGCAGTGGTGTCAGCGACTGTTTCCGGGGCTCTTTGAGCAGCAGACCGGAACAACTCTGCTCCTGTCTTGTTTGCTGGAGTTTCGTCTGCACTGACAGTTTTCGTTTTTAACACCAAGGTTTAGAGGCAAAGCAGGCTGAAGCCCAGGCCTGGCAGAGCCTCCCTCCTCCCCAGTCAGTTGGCTGAGCCTGGCCCAAAGGGTGTGCAGGGATCTCCAGTCGGCGATGTCACTTGGGGTCTGATAGGTCCTCCGGGACTAAACAAACAAGGTCCCCTCAGCGTGAGGCCACGTGTGACATCACTGCACCCCCAGATGAATCTTCCTCGTGTGTCATCCCCAAAGCAAGTGCCACATGAGTGAGATGCAGTCATCGCCAAACCAGGGGCTGCCAGGCACCAGGCCAGGCAGTGCCTCCAGGGGCTCGGAAGTGCCTGGAAACGCTGTGAGCGCTCTGGCCTCAGGAACCCCGAAAATCCCTCCCTGTGCTCACAGGAGACACCACTGGGCAGTCCCGAGGGGTCTGTAAACACCCAGGAGCAGGGCACATTGTCCACAGAGAAGCAGCAAATAAGCTGGCAAAGGCCGTGGCTTCTCCACAGATTCCTGTTCACACAGAGCCCAGCTTCTCTCCATAAAGCTGGGTTCGCGCAGCCTCGTGTTCTCGTTACCGTGAACTGAACTTCGGGGTTCTCTTAGAGCAGTAAAATGGAAAAACAAACAAGCCTACCTATAATTACGGAGTTGTGTGTGTGCGTGTAGATTTACCGTCCTCTAAGCCGACACGAACAGGCGCACTTCCTCCCAGAGCTCCGCGCAGGCAGCCTGCTCTCCACGCCTTCGGCCACAGGCTGGCGGAGGGGACTGACTGACCACAGCACCGACCATCTCTCTCTGAAAAGCTTGTTTTAATACAAGGTGTGGCATGGTACAAAATGCAGATATATTTATTAGGCCTGAAAAACATCTGTCACCAGTTGGCATCAATTTGCTTTATCCTTAAAAACAGAACGAGGAATGTAAACGCAAAACTGCTGTGCAGGCTTGCCAGATCCTGGAAAGCGCCCGCACGTTCCTGTTCGGGGTAACCATGTGGACCCCCGCAGGCTGCAAGACTCAGAAACGTCACTGGGACGTCCTTCTGGCCTGCAACCCTCTCCTGACCCTTGCAGGAGGACACACTTTTCTCCAAAGCTGACACGTCACAGAAGCCGCCCCGTGAGTGTTGGACAGTGAATGTTCAAGTCCCCGTGTTCTGGGCCGCACCAAGCGCGAGCCTCTGCCTCTCCCCAGCATCTGTCGCCCTGCCCCTCCCCGCGTTGACTGTGTCCTGCATCCACCTGAGCTGCTGTGGCTCCGGGACCAGGGGCTACCTCCACCGCCGCATGCTGCCCTGTGGCCCCTCCTTGCTCGTCGGGGCTCCCTGTGCCCTGTGGTCCCTCCTCGCTGGTCTGGGCTCCCCACTCTGGCACTTCTCTTTCTAGCGATGCTGCCTTCTGCTACGTCTGCTGCTTGGCCTCCTGCAGGGAGCCGCGGATGCTCCCTGCTAAGCACAAGCTGCTTCCCCTCGGCCCTGTCCCCTGACTTCATGATGCACAAGCCAGGCAAAGCCTCAGCTTTTCCATTCGCTCCCAGCCTCGCACTGGGACAGCCTACGGAGGCCACTGCTTGAAGCCCGGGGAGGAACACCCACCTCAAGCATCCAGGCGTTCCCTGTGCACTCTAGGACCTCATTTTGAAATTGTAAAGGAAAGCAGTTTTATGGGTGACACAGATGAGCCTTAGAGCTGGGAAACGCAGCGGCCCAGATGTGTTCACCGCCACGTGGCATCGAGGGCAGGACAGCAGAGGGCCCCTGGGCCTTGTCCGCGTGTCCAAGCTGTGCCGCCTCCGTCACGCCAGCACCTGCAGTCAGTTGCTGTTTGCTGTCAGAGCCCTGTCCCGAGGGTGCGGGCCGTGGTGTGCTGGAGCGAGGTGTGCTTGGCGGCGGCACTAGGACGGGTGGAAGTGGTGGTGGTGGTGGTGGTGGTGGTGCTCGTGGTGGTGGTGGTGTTCGTGCCGCTGGATCACCGGCACCGCATAGCCCTCTCCCGCTGGCGTGGGCGGCAGGTCCCGCACCACCTCGTGCTCCACTGCGGCAGGCTGGGCGTGTGGGGCCTTGAGTGGCGAGTGGCCCTCCCTGCCCTTTTGGCGGTACCGCTTGTGGCCGTAGGGTGGCGGTGGGGGCTGCGGGGGAGGCTGCGGGAGGTGGTGGCCGTCCTGAGGGGCCTGGGGGGACAGGACGGCCGGCAGGTAGTAGCTGAAGGCTTTCCCGGACTTGCTGCTGGCTGGCACCCCAGGCGGCTTCCCGGAGCCCTTGGGGGACTTGAGGAACTGCTTCTCCGGCCCCTTCGGCCGGGGCTGTGGGTCCAGGGCCCGGGCAGCAGGTTCCAAGGATGGCACGTGTTCCACCAGCACCTGCGACCTGCGGTGGTGCACAGCGTGTGTGTCCGGCTCTTGGGAGCGGGACCGGGCCTGGAGGTGCGAGGCCCTGCCCTGGGGCTCCTGCTTGGCTTGTACAGGAGGGGACCCTGCGGACATAGGTCAGAGTGTGAGGCCCTGGGAGTGCAGGCCCAGGTTCCCATCTCCTCCGAAACGGCCCAAGGCCCGCTGGAAGAGCTGCGCCAGGTGTCCCATCTGAGGCCAGCCTGTTAGCCAAGTCTGCAGTCAGACGGCCACCAGCCCTGAAGGGAAGGGGCCCGGCCACCGGGGATGACCTGCCTGGCTCCACAGCTCCCTGCAAAGGCCGACTCCTCTAGCCCCATCCCCACTGCGTGTCCTGGGAACGGAGCTTCTCTCCTCGCACAGCTGAGACCCTGCCTGGGGCCCCATGGCAGAAAGCCAGGTTATGTCAGGGAGGGCACCCCCAGGATTCACGTCCCCTAAACCCTCATTACAAAACAGATTCCAGAAGGACCCAGGGCTTCCACCTTCACAAGGTGCAGTGCAAGCCCCATGCACAGAATGGCCCAGTTCAGCGTCAGCACACAGCACACCGAGCCTGTGACCCCGATCCAGCTCCACCCCTCCTGCCCCTGGGGACTCCTGGAGCCGGGGTCAGGAGAGGGACTTGGCCCCAGTCTTTGGGGAGCGGCCTGGGCTTTAGTCCAATAATCTCCATGCAGGCCACACGGGGGTGCTGCTGGTCGGAAATAAATGGGTGCTGGGCAGGCTGCCAGCTGTCTACGCTGCTTGCCATCCACACTGCCTGCCCTCCACACTGCTTGCCTGCCATCCACACTGCTTGCCTGCCGTCCACACTGCCTGCCGTCCACACTGCCTGCCATCCACAATGCCTGCCGTCCACACTGCCTGCCGTCCACACTGCCTGCCGTTCACACTGCCTGCCGTCCACACTGCCTGCCTGCTGTCCGCTGTCTGTTGTCCACACTGCCTGCCTGCCATCTACACTGCCTGGTGTCCACACTGTCTGTTGTCCACACTGCCTGCCTGCCATCTACACTGCCTGGTGTCCACACTGTCTGCCATCCACACTGCCTGCCATCCACACTGCCTGCCTGCCGTCCACACTGCCTGCCTGCCTGCCGTCCACACTGCCTGCTGTCCACACTGCCTGCCGTCCACACTACTGGACAACCCCTCTGCTGAGTGAGCCGGTGATTCGACCCTAAAATACTGACTTCTCACCCCAAGGCAGGGTTTTCCTGAATGCAGACCCAACGTCTTCCATCTCACTTTGAACCAGGTACTCCCCCTGCCATACACACACACCTGGACGGGGCGCCCGCCTTGCTTTTGGGTGGCACCAACAGGTAGCCAGGAGGCAGTCATGACCAACAGGTAGCTGTGGAAGGACCTCGGTGCCAGGCGGGGCGGGGCAGGGTCCCCCTGCACTCAGGGCTGCAGGAAGCAGGACCTTCAATGGGCACCCACAGCCGGGGCCTCGTGCCCAGGGTGGTCTCCAGGACATACCAGGGCCGAATCTGGACGTGTAGTTCTCAATCCCGGCGAGGTCCAGGTAGTGGTTTCTGCGCTCCGTGTTCTCGTCCACGCAGTAGGGTCCCCGCTCTGAGCAGGGCTGGGGGTCAGCGCTGGGCCTCCTGCATGGAGCACAGAGAAGGGCCTGACCGCCGCACAGACTGGGCGGCACGTCCCCGAGGATCGGGTACCTGCAGCAGGCGGCGGACGTCCGGGGTGCGTCCTGACCAGCACCCACCTCCTCGCAGAGCAGGAAGAGCGGACGACTGGGCGCAGACACAGCCAAGTGCCGTCCAGAGAAACAAGGTCATGGCCGCCCCCCAGAACCCTGTGATCTCTGTCCCAGGCACCAGAGCTGCAGGTGCTCTAGGGAGCGGCTCATGCTGTAGTGGCCCCTGGTCACCACTCTGGGACCACTGTAGCCACTGCACCAGCCACTGCCCAGCCACCCTCAGCCACTGCCTGAGCCATCCCCAGCCACCCTCAGCCACCCTTAGCCACGCCCCAGCCACTGCCTAGCCACCCCCCACCACTGCCCCAGCCACCCCCAGCCCTGCTGCTGCCAAAGCTGCTGAGTGGAGCAACAGGGAGCCACGGCAAGTCCAAGCTGAGGGTGCCAAGGCTGCTGCAACTGCTGCCCCTCAAAGTCCTCTGCTCAGACAGACTCGGGGGCCCAACTCAGCCATGGTGCCGGATGCTGGAAGGGCCCGTGCCCCACAGAGCTGCCGGCCCAGGTGCCCCCAGCAGGTCTGACCTAGAGGACAATGCATGGCCTGTGGCCTGCGGGAAGCAGGGGTATGGCCAGGGTGCCTCTGCCTAAGGCACAGCCCCACCCTGGCACCCCAGCCCTCACCTGACGTGTGCAGACAACCTCCTGTCGGCCACCCTTGGCTCCTCTGGCAGTTCACTCTCTGTTCTGCAACGGTTGGGCTCCCGGTCTGAAAGGGGGGTCCTGCTGTCACTCACTCACTCCCTTCTTCATTCAGCACTAACTCATTCACTCATTCATTAACTTACTCGTTCACTCATTCATTAACTCACTCATTCATTCATTCATTAACTCACTTGTTCACTCATTCATTAACTCACTCGTTCACTCATTAACTCACTCATTCATTAACTCACTCATTCATTAACTCACTCGTTCACTCATTAACTCATTCACTCATTCATTAACTCACTCATTCATTCATTAACTCACTCATTCACTCATTCATTAACTTACTTGTTCACTCATTCATTAACTCAGTCGTTCATTCACTCATTAACTCACTCGTTCACTCATTCATTAACTCATTCACTCATTCATTAACTCATTCACTCATTCATTAACTCACTCATTCACTCATTCATTAACTCACTCATTCACTCATTCATTAACTTACTCGTTCACTCATTCATTAACTCACTCATTCATTCACTCATTAACTCACTCGTTCATTCACTCATTAACTCACTTGTTCACTCATTCATTAACTCATTCACTCATTAACTCACTCACTCATTCACTCATTAACTCACTTGTTCACTCATTCATTAGCTCACTTGTTCACTCATTCATTCATCTGCTTACTCACTCACCCATCCATTCACCCACTCACTCCTCCATCCACTCACTTGTCCCTCCCTGTCCCCAGCACACAATTTAGGCCCCTGCCAATGTGGGGTAGGGTCGTGTGTGTGCTCAGGCCTCGCTCACCCTGGCCGGCAGGAGGACCCTCCTTCCTCTTGCTGGAGGGCTCAGGGCTGACGGTTAGCTTCACACGGAGGGTCTTGCTGCTGCCCGAGGAGTGGTTGACCGAGGCATCCACGACCTCATAGATGGTATGCATGAGGCTGGACACGTCCTGGGGCCCAGCATCAGTGTCACTGACAGAGCAGACCCCAGGGGATGCCACCCGCCCTCCCTGCCAGAAAACACGCCCATCCCCTGCCCCTCCCCGCACCATCCTCGCAGCTGCCGACAGACCTCAGGGACCAACACAGGCGTCTTCTCTGAGCAGCCTGGGTCTGCCTGGGAGGCCCTGTGAGTGCCTCCAGTGCCCTCAGGGCAGCCCTGCCATGTGGGAAGCACAGCCGCAGAAATGGGCGGTGCAGGCTTGGCCCAGAAACACATGTGAATCAGGCCCTGGGGAGACGCAAGCCCAGCTGGCGTGAGGACCTCGCAGCAGACAGGTCCCCGCCCGCCCCTTGAGGCATGGCGAGGCCAGCACAGTCCATCTGTCCCTCCATCTGTCCCCCAGTCTGTCTACTACTGGGCCCTGTGCAGCCCTTCCTGTGGACCTGACACAAACACAAGCTCACCTACCTCCCTGGTGACCTTCCCACAGTTGTCAAAGTCGTAGAGAGTGAACGTCCACTCCTGGCGGTCGTCGTCCTCCACCGAGACATCGCACTGGAGTGCCTGCGGGGGACATGGGGGCTGGGACCTCGCCTCCTACCCACACCAACACGCCCCATTCCGTAGGGGGCAAGATCTTCTGGGGCCTTTCCCGGGGGTCCCTCATGCCAGCCAGGAAAGGGGGAGCCTAGAGGGCAGCGTGGCTGGAGCCCAGGCCCTGGAACCAGCAGGCCTTTCTTGTCCATCTTCGGCCCTCCTTGGGGGGACACAGCTTTGTGCTCCGTGACTTGGTTTCCCCACAGTGACACCTGTCTCAGCTCATGCAAGCACTCCATGTCCCCCAGAAGGAGAAGAGGACACGCTGGCCATCAAGTGTTGTCAATTCCAGAAATCTTGACTGGACACGGAGACCCCACCCCTCCCTCAGCCCTCCCGGGAAGCGGAAGCCCAGTGCCCTGTGCCTTGGGCCTGGTGCCCTGCCTCCAGTCGGGCTGTCCGTCAAGTCAGCTTTGGCATTACTCCTGTAGTGCTAAGGGTACCAAGGCTGGGAACGCGGCTCAAGTTATTTAATGCCAGACCAGTCAGTTTTGGCCAAATTCACAGCAACATCCCGCACTCGCTGGCTCCTGCTGACTTTGGCTGCATATTCAAGTTTTGCTTCAGTGCTTTAAATGGGGTGAACTGTGGGGAAAACTGAGTGACTACGCAGTGTCCACAGATGCCCATTTTAGGGCAACACACGCCTGTCCCTGTGCCCCCGGCCCCAGGGACGTGTTCCCGCAAGTGAGGCCGGAGAAAGACCTACGTCAATGTTGAGGCGCTGCCCGCCTGGTCCTCGTGGGTCCTCGCGGTTGGCTGCCCTCTCTCCGTCATCTGCGCTGAGTTGTTGTCCTGGGCGCTCGCGGCCCTCAGCTTTCTCAGCAGGGAGTGCCACTAGGGGGACAAGAGGTGGCGAAGGGGCTGGCAGAGGAGACATGGAGGATGTGGCCTGCCGTGGTGGGGGCTGTCGCTGCCCTCCCCTCACCGCACCATGATCCCGTCCAGACGAGCCTGAGCCGAGAGCCCGATCTTGGGACCCCTGCGGGGGGGAGAGAGGCCCCATCCCAGCCAGCCTCAGCCGGGTGTGCCCTCCTCTCACCAGCCCACAGTGGCTCCCAACTGCAACCACCACCTCGGGGCTGGGGATGCAGCAGACTCCGAGGAGCACAGATAGGGGAAGACAGCCTAGGCCTCCAGGAGATGCTCCCTGTGTCATCATCAGGCCCCCCTCCCCGTAGACACAGTCCCTGCCCTCCACTCCAGAATCCTGGCACTGAGCCCACAGGCCATGCAGGCCACCTGTGCACTGAGTGTGTCAAAGGCGGCCCCCTCCCCCAGCCTCTGGGCAGGATGGATGAACAGCACTCAGGTTTCTGGGGCACAATTATTCCATTATTCTCTGGCACTCACAAGCCGCGTCCCCAGGATAGGAGCATGGGCCTGTCCCAGCTTAGCACCTGCAGACAAGTGCACGTCGAGCCTGAGCTAGGACGACACTCTGGGCCTGCCTTCCCATTGAGGGGGGTCTGGGTGCCTCTCTTGGCTTCAGCAGCCATCTGAAGGTGACCCGGCTGGCTGACCTCCCAGCACCCTCCCACAGACCCACAGGTAAGCCAAGTGTCGACCTGCCACATGCCACAGGTAGGACTGGTGCCACGGAGACACACAAGTGGCAGGGACTTAGGCTGGGCCAGCATCTCACACATCCTCTGACCCAGGGCTGACGTGAAAATTCACAGGCCACCTTTATACAGAGCCACCCCCATCCACAAACACAGGCTCACAGAGACTCCAAACACATAAAGGTGATGCTTAGGGCTCTGGCCATGGGATGGGCCTTTTTCATCTCTGCTGCCAGATGCCAGCTGCCAGTCCAGCGAGGACCCTGTGAGTTGTGCTGCCAAGCACTTTTCAAGAACAAGGTGCGTCTGAGTCTGGGAAGTGCCCCTTGCCTCACACACAGGGTGGTTTTAAGGGTGGTTTTCTGGCATTGCCTTGGTACGGGATAAAGTCTGCGAGGTTTGGGGAGGGAGGGCTGCGGGAGCTGCGCTTACCCTCTAGGGGACACTGGTCCTCCCGGAAAGGCCCTTCCTTGGGGTTCCCATTGGGCAGCTCCTGCAGGAAGAACAGGGCAGTCAGTGGCCACACAGCTCAGTGGGCAGGCGGACAGGAGCTCTGGGCGGCTGGACTAGAGCCTGACACTCGCCTCAAGCCTCCTGGGGCATCTCAATCTCTGGGTCCAGAAACACCAACCCTCTGTGCCCCACTCAGCCTCAGATTTTAGGAGGCAAAACACACAGACATGCCCGTGTTGTCAGGTTCCCCAGAGCATTTCCAGGTGGAAGATGCGGCTGCCTGGAACGACCTCTTCGGTCAGTCCTGCCCTGAGGATGCCCCTGGCCAGGGCCCCCACGCTGGATCACCCTAAATACAAGAGGAGACGCGCCTGCCCCTTTGCTCTGGGGCCTGCTCCCAGCACTGCCCCCCGGAGCCTGACACGAGGACTCCAGCCGCTGCCCCCACGGCTGCCCAGCACCCCAGCGTGCCTCTTCTAGGGCTGCCGGCAGAGACCAGTTACAGAAAATGGGGAAAAACTTCAAACACATCCCAGCGGTGTTTCTGCTGAGCCAAAGCTCACAGGGTCCTCATGAATTAGCTACAGCCTTGAGGACACGGAGAAGGAGACAGACCGTGGTCAGGGCAGGGGCCTTGCGTGGCGGTGGAGGTGCGGCGTCCCTCAGCCCAGCACTCACCGCCCTGGAGCATTTCCTGAGAGCAGGCAGCTCTCGCGCAGGCGGGCTGGAGGGATGGGCAGCTGTGTTTTTGCTTCTGATTCCAGGTCCCTGGAAAGCCGTGGAGAGCCCACAGGAGACAGAGCACAGAGCTGAGTCCCGTCTACCCGGACGGCCAGAGCCTGACCCTGGCGATGACTTTGGTGCGAGTTGGTGTCTCCGTGGGTGGACACGGGACCCCAGGGCTGCCCTCATGGTCCCCACGCTTCATCCTTTCCTCCTGACCGGGGTCACGTGCCCTTCATTCCTTCTGACCTCCTGGGGGGCTACCGGCCCCGCTGGGGTCCCTGGGGTTCCTGGAGTCTGGCCCGGGCAGGAGGCCGAGAGAGGTCGCCCTCGAGGGCACCTGGACCCCCCCAAGCGCCTCCTGCCACCGTGGTCATTGGCCAGGGGCCAAGCAGGGTATGCTGGAAGGTTCCAGGCTGGCCGGCTGCCACTCCAGACCTTGGGCAGGGAGAAGGACTGGACCCCCATCCACTCATGGGCACTAAGGTGACGCTGCCGAGGCTGAGTATGGCTGAGTCAGACCCAGGCCCCCAGCCCTCCTTGTGGCTGAGCCAAGGGCCCCCTGGAGCTGAGGTCTCCTGCCGGTCACCCAGGGAGGTGCCAAGGCAGGGTAGGCAGCTCCCAGTGGGAGGCAGGAGAGCTTGCCCTCATTTTAATAAGAAACAAAACAGCTGATTATTAAAAAGTAGGCCTCCCTCCTGGGGGCTGCAGTCCCGACATTCCGGGACTGGCTGCTGCGGAACTGAGGGGCCCTATGAGCCCAGCCTGGCGAGGCCGTCGTACATCCACACAGCAGGGAGGCACCGCTGTGAGGTAAAACTCTGTCCACATGGACACCGGCATAAAACCAAATCATCTCTAAAACCCGGGCTGTGGTTATTTATTTTTTTCAAAATCAGAATAATGGATGAGGCTGCAGTCGTAGGCTTCTGTGGAGTGCAGAGCAGTGCCCAGAGCCCCAGAGGTGCAGCCCCCATGGGCACAGCATCCTCGTGGGAAGGACCAGGTGCCGGGAGCTCCAGAGCCCCTCAGGTGGACTCGTCCAGGTGCTTGGCGGCGGCTGCCAACAGAAATGGTGTCATGAGGGCAGCCAAGGCCCCCAAAGCCCAGGCTGAGGGATGCAGGCACTGTCACTGTGGAGGGCTGGTAGGGAGGGGAAAGTGACCCTAAATGCTGAGGTGGGCGCCCCGAGGCATCCCTGTCCACCCCTGGGAGCTCCAGCCCAGACCTTCTCTGGGACGTGGGGAGGGTGCTGGGGGGCTGCACCACGCAGGGTTCTCAGTCCCCCCACCCCACTGCACCACAATCCCCCACCAAGTGCCCAGTTCACCTCCCATCAGACCAGCAGGCAGAGCTCAGGCCTCCTGCATGGTGCTGGGTGCCCCAAGCCTCTTTACAGATGGCAGTGAGGTGCCCTGGGGCCTGAGGGCCGGCACGCACAGCACTCCTTGCTAAAGAGCCCTAACTGAAGTCACTCATGGAGGCCACATTGCTGTCCAGATGGGGGGCAGCAGCAGCGGCTTCCTGGAAAGTGCCAGAATTCATAGGAGCAGCCGGGCAGCGAGTTGGGCGGGGTGGAGTAATTTTTAAGGGATTTTTAAGTGTTTCCACGATTTGCTGAAAATGACAAGTGAGAAACGGCGCATCCACGCACCTCCACGCATCGAACGTCAACACAGCGGAACATGCCAAACGTAAGCCGTCGTGGTCATGTGTCTACCAAATTCCTGAGTGCGACTTGTCGGCAGAGCATTCTCTCTTTTTCTTTTTTCTTTTTTTTTTTCTTTTGAGACGCGAGTCTCGCTCTGGTCGCCCAGGCTGGAGTGCAGGTGGCGCGATCTCCGCTCACTGCAAGCTCCGCCTCTGAGTTCATGCCATTCTCCTGCCGTCAGCATCCCATGACGCGCGACGTACAGGTGCCTGCCACATGCCCGGCTAGTTTTTCTGTGTGTGTGGTATTCTTAGTAGAGACAGGAGTTTCATCCCATGTTAGCCAGGATGGTCTCGATCTCCTGACCTCGTGATCCGCCCACGTCAGCCTCCCAAAGTGCTGGGATTACAGGCGTGAGCCACCGCCCGGCCACTGGTGGGGGATTTCACTGGTTACAGACAGGAGTCTAAACTTGCGAGATGGCAGGAGGAGGGGTGCAGCTGTTCAAGACAGAAAGAATCTGCACAGACCCGTGGTTTGATTTCTGGAAACGCTTCCCGCACTACACCAACCAGTCAAGCTACAATAACCAACCAACACTGTAATAACCAACCAAAACTACACCAACCAGCCAACGCTACACAAACCAGCCAACACTACACCAACCAGCCAACGCTACACCAACCAGCCAACGCTACACCAACCAGCCAACACTACACCAACCAGTCAAGCTACAATAACCAACCAACACTGTAATAACCAACCAAAACTACACCAACCAGCCAACGCCACACCAACCAGCCAACGCCACACCAGCCAGCCAACGCCACACCAACCAGCCAGCCAACGCGACACCAACCAGCCAAC